GATTGGCTGGGAAATGGTCCTCTCCACCAATGGGAGGGGCGGCGGAAGGAGGGGCGAGGCCTGGCTGCCTTAGTGCTTCCTGGAAGTCTCTGGCTGGAAAGATTCCAGAGGCAGGGAAGGGGCGCCTGGAAACAGTGGAGAGACAGCGGTGGCGGTGCAGTCCCGGATCCTGCAGGCAAGTGAGGGTGGCTTGAGGGATCTCGAAGCCAAGAATCGGGTCCTCTCTGTCCGCTCTGAGGCAAGCCCTTCTTGGCCGACCCTGCTATCCCCGGCTGACCGCGTGGCCCTGTCTCCCTGTGTGGGCCGGTGTTGGATGTAGCCCTGGGTCCTCATTCCTGGCCCTCAGCGTCTGACCCGGTGAGAAGCCCCAGGAAGGCGGGAAGGTGGAAGGAAGTTAGGCAGAGAGGGACGAAAAAGAAATGGGACTCAGTTTTATAGCAAGGCAGGTTTCCTGTAGCTGTCCTGGAAAGTAGCCCGGGGCTATAGAACAGGTTCACAATTGTTTTGTGCCATGAGTCAAACTGCAGGTCCCGTGAAGCTAGGCATTGGTGAAGTCCAAGTTGTCCTAGTGCAAGAAACACTCATGTTTAGGGGGAAAATAGTTCCTTTTATTCTTGAGCCACTCCTTTTCTGGCTCTGGCCTTGTCTGTGTTGTCACTCTCTTGTCCTTACCTGTTGCACTCACCCCCACCTTTTCCTTTCACGCCTGTGCCAGCCTCCTGTCTCTCCAGAAACTCTTTCTGGCCACCATTCTTAGAGCTGTTTCTCCTGCCAGGAGCCTCCTGTTGTTCCCTTTCCCGACCCTACTTCATTGTCTATAATCCCCAGTAAAGGGAGGAGGAGTCCCGGGAGAGCTGACGGTGTTTGGACTCTCCTTTTAGTAGTGTATGAAAGGATTTCCCCCAAAGCAGTCCTTTGATGAGCTATTCCCCCCAGCTATGGCCCCTTTTATTTCCACAGGCCTTGGGCTGTCAGCTTGCTTTCCAAGACCTTCCTTACACTCTCTCAGCAAAGATACAATGTTGCAGTATTTATGTTGAGGGTCAATAAGGAAACTTACTATGCTGTGTTCATGCAAGGCATTGAACATCTCTAAAACAGGTGATAGAAAATGGGCACCAAGGAGGATAAGCAGTATGAGTTGCATGTTCCTGCCCCCAAATGAGGTGTTAGTGTGCCAGCGCACCCTCAGTCCTGGGCATGGTGGGGATCTGCTCTCTGAAGCCAGCCTGAGGAGAAGTGGTTGAGCTTTGGGAGCTACATGCCTGAGGCCTGTGAACTCCAACTCTGTTGGTGGTCTTTCCCTGTGGTTCACAGTCTAGCAAGGGCCTAGCATGTGCAGCAGCATTTACTGCAGGCAACATTCTCCAACCTGCAAGAGACCACCTGCCCTTCCTACTCATCCCATCCAACTGGGATCTTCTTCCTCTAGTTTGCTGTACTTTAGATACTATTAGGATTTACCAGGTTTCAGTGAATTCTACTACCGAGGCTGATGCATTTTTAGGAATCTTAGATGAGTTGGCAAAGGTTCATGTTTAAATATGTTAATTACTGGACAGTGTGGAGAATGGGTTAGAAGGGTTTGTCAGATGGTCTGGGCTGCTGGGATCCTTGTTCACTTTTTCATGTATTTTTTTTTAGTAGTAGAGAAACAAGGTTTCTAGCTTATGTTTTCCCTTACCCACTTATTGAAATATATATATTTTTATGTTTATCTCCTTTGAGAGAGGAGAGAGAACTCACATGAGTGAGGGAGGGCCAGAGAGAGAAGAAGAGAGAGAGAATCTCAAACAGGTTCTGTACTATCAGTGCAAAGCCCAGTGCAGGGCTGGAATCCATGAACCGTGAGATCATGACCAAGATTTCAACATTCAGTATGGCTTGACATGAACCATGAGATCATGTCAAGGTTTCAGTATTC